TGTGCCTGTTGTTTAGGAAATATAAAGAAGTGTAACCATACAATAACGTATCGAAAAGTCGAGTTTAAAGAGAGTCCCCTATATTAGCCTTGAGGTGGTGTCTAGTCTCTTACTTAGACCTTCTCGGCCAAGCAGGATCTGGTTATGAGATTAGCTAACCACTGAGTTCCAGTCCATGTTTTTAAGAGCATTTTCAAGCCAAGTTATTCCTACACATTGGATAACTTGAGATAGCTGATCCGGGCTGCTTTAGCAGTCCTGAATACTGACCAGTCGATCTAATCACTCTGAACAATGATCAGCTGGCTGAACAAGGAGTCGCTTGCGACATGATGTGACAACAGATTCGAGCTGCACACTAAACAGGGCATTCCCCGAACATTCCATATGAAATGGCTTTTAGTTCAAAGGAACACAATTGACTAATTAGGCACAAAGGTGTTCTCGTGAATTCATATTCCAGGTTGGTCATTATCATCCAATAATTCGCTACACTCTTGTTCATTAAGGTAGTGTTCCCTTCCCTCTACTGCTATCACAAGACATTTGTCGGACAATTCTCTTTACTCAACAGAAGCTCCTAAGATGCGTTTTTCTGTGCGTGTGTGTTTCGCGTTAGGCAAAATTTATTTTAGCGTTTGATAATTTGATTGCTTGTAGGAGAGACTTTGGCGACATGCTGGGGCTGATCCCACAGCTTACTCACACGATAATTATAACTGAGCAACCCGTTAGATTAGATGCAACCAATCAATGCACGCAAGGATGTTTTAGTTTGTGGAAATTTCGTTAATGCACAAGCCTGATACAGTGGAACCTCGATTTAACGAAGTGTTTGTTATATCGAGGTTCTGTGGCATACATTTTACTGTAACCGTTTTTGGCCTTGCTGAAACTGATGTATAGTTCGTTATACCGAGGATTTCGTCATGTAGAGGTTCGTTAAATCGAGGTTCCACTGTACTGTGTTAAACCTGGGTAGCTATCTCCACTCAAAATTTACCGAAAAAGTATAAAAAAAGAGAAAACTTTTCAGTTTTAGGCTATCAAAAGATCCAGGAAAACCACGGGAGCCAGCAGTGTTGAATATTGGTAAAATGTTTAGTTTTCCAGGGTTGTAGGGTCTTCACTTCAAAGTCTGACATGAAAACGAATGCTAAAAGTCAGCCAAATTTTCTAAACTTGAGAACGATGTGCTGAAACTAACAGGCAAAGTCAAAAGCACCGCCCTTCCCCGAAGTTGGGGCTTACGTACGGCGATTATGATTTTGGAAATAAAG